TCTCCAGCTTTTCCTTTATATTAAGCTTTGTTTTAGTTCCATGCATTCATTGATGGTTGAAATGGTGATGTCATACATTTGCGTGTCGAAATACTGCAAAAACACTAGGTCTTACCGTCTTGGCCATCTAGTGGGAAAATATTGAGATCCAAAGAGAGACAATGCATGCCACGTGGTGAGATCATCGAAAAATGTGTCAAATTTGACATCAGATTCGTAATCTACACCCCAAAAAACATATAATTAAAAAAAAACACCCTTTTTTTTGGATGTAGTTAATCTGCAATAATACCAATTTGACAGTTGACATGGCTCTACCAAATAGTGAATAACTGTTTTTATAGGAAGAATATTATGGTTTGAGACTTTTAAATACGTCTGTGAATATATTAGGAATCCTTTGTGTATACTTGTATCCGCTGATTTCAAGTCATAAATAAATTAATAGATGATTAAGTTGAGATGTTGGATTTCGACACATGAAAACTAATTCTGACACAACTTGAATTGGACACACACAGATCGTTCAAAGCTTTGTACAAAAATTGAAATTTGCTTGATTAAAAGCCTAATAGCTGTTAATTAAAACGTAATTAAGTAGTGTTCAATATTCGTTAGTGTTCTAATTCAAAGCCATGTTGTATCCCAATACAGCTCACACGGCAAACGGAATTCAAACACGTAGATGTTGGCAATACGTATCAGTTAAATTTGAAGCGCTGACGCAATACGACTCACCACGTGTCGGATGTTGCCACACAAAGTGACGGAATATAGGGATTTGGTAGGTTTCCATTCTAAAGGCTTTTTAATAAATATGGCAACATTTTGTGACGTTTCATCGTTGCTGACGCGTAGTGAAGTGTTTTGAGAGTCATGTGAAGGCAACAGAACTTACGTAACGCATACGGTTTTTTTTATAGTTTTTCATTTCTCAATGCGTCCTTAATGTGTCGGAATATACCGCGTTTACCCTTGTTATTCTGTGTTATCCACTTGCCATGAGTCCGTGACAACTGGCTTTAGTGGCTTACTGGCAAGTGTTTGGTGGTGTGCCACACTCAGGATGATGTATGTTTTTGGTCAATTTTCCCGCGCATTTTCACTTTTTTTAAGCTATTGCTGTGCACAGTTGGCGCAATGTCATGAAAATTGATTATCTTCGCGCACGTGTTCGCGCAATCCCGGCCATCTTTATTTTAGAAGAAATTTTCTCCAAAGTCATATGGCAACACTGAACACTGTCTGTTTACATTTCGTATGTATATCAGCCGCAGTTTACGATTACCGTACGTTCCGTATCCGACAAGGCGGACAACCGGAAGAGTCAGAAGTAACCCGGACCTGTCTTACATTTTATTATTGTCAGTTCGACTCGCGTAGTCAATATACTCGCGTATATTGTCGACTAAAATAGTAGAACTATTTTAGCTTTCTAAAGTACGGCGCACGGTGCATTTTTTTACCAACATAGTACGTTAAAATGACAAAATAAATTCCCGCGCACGGCGCACCTGGCACATCTTCCTGACCATGGGTGGTGTGCTATAACACATGCTGCTGACTGACATGCACTGGTATGTTGCAATGTTGACACTTGGCAGGTTACTTAGTATTAAGTTAAAAGTATTAAGTTGAAATTATTCAATGTATTTAAAGCAATTGCATGCAATTTGGATTTAGAAACATAGCAGCTGCAGCCGCAGCCACCAGGTAGCCTAGTGAGTCCACACCCCACCGGCCCACCCCAGGCGGCAGGCCCAGCCTAGTCCCAGGGACCCCCTCCCAGGCTCCCACCCAGTCCACTCTATTTTTGGCTGCTGGATGTAAATCCTGGCTGTAAATAAAAATACCTATGCAATTTGGCAAATGTAATGATACATAAGTTAATGCATGTAAAATGTCCAAACTTATAATTACAAAATGTGGCCACTGGCCACATCTCCATGATTTTAAAGAACACTAATGTCAATCTAGGATAGACTAGGTACACACTGTGTCACAGTCAAATGTGTTACCAAGACCTAGTATTTAAGCCCAAAAGTCTAAACATTGCTAGCAGCATTCAAACCTCATTGCATGCTATGGTGCCTCTGCTTCTAGTCTCTAGACATCACCCATAGGCTTGTAGCCGGTATCAGTCAGAGTGCGGGAAGCCGAAGGTCCTTACCAATCATCCCCAATTGGCCACATTGATTGTCATGTGCATCATTTTGGCCAAACATTGCCCATCACCTGGATGATTTGGGAGTGTTTAAAAATCAATATTTACAAGATTGACAATGTTTGTAAGATTTTCTGTATAGCTCAATTTTTCTGCAGATGGATCTCCAAAGATCATTTGTTTTTTGCTCATTAATTGCACCCTGGAGGCTGGATGTCAATCAAATAGTCAGTCAAATGTCAACAGTTGTCAATCAAATGTCAGCTGTGTCCAGTGGTCAACATGAATTATTACTATGAAGTAAAATCAGTGTGTCCTAAATTGACCAAAATCAACAATATGTATGGAAACTGGAATTTCTGGAAATAATATAATTTTAAATTACCCATATCAATGCTGTGTTGTGTCTCGCTTGTTTATAAGTGTTCTCTGTTTACTTCTGCAGCTGGGTTGCACTGAGCATTATTGGAAATGAGTAGGAAAAAGTTGTGCAGTGTAGGCCAGGCATGAAATATATCTTAGTATCTACTTGGCATGAAGTTGGCAAGCCGCGTCTAGATTTTTCGAGCCATGGCTTCATGGGTTTGCCAGCCATGTTTCCATTTCTTTTAGCCGTGGCTGCATGGGTTTGCCAGCTGTGATTCCATTTCTTCGAGGCGTGAATTCCATATCTTGGTCGTGAAAAGCCATTTATGACCCGCAAACTTGTTATTCTAAAGTCCCATCACTCCCATGCACACAAAGACCCATGTTATTTACAAAGTCCCATACAAAAAAAAAAAGTCACTAGCATTTGTCTTCACTTGAGCAGCAACTGTACAAGTGATAATGCAGTATGACCATTCTGACATAACTGCAACTATGCAAGCTTCATGGAGGAAATGTTTTGAGTTGACTTTTGTTATAACATTCTGCATGTTATTTTGGCAGGAGGCAGGTGCATTGAAGTATATATACTGTGGATTGCAACAGTTGAAAATTTTACTAAACGACATGTTTGCTAAGTGCAAACCGCAGCTTTTTTAATCTTTATGACATTAGAGCAGCAATATTTCATACCTACTGAAATTATATCATATTAGAGCCGCAATATTTCAGAAAAAATAGGACTTTTCCAGCCCTGGTGTAGGCTTTCTGAAATGAAACTTATTTTTTCATTTGGAACATCATCTGTTTGCACACTGTGCCAGGGTGGATAGCTAGAGGTCAGCATAGCCCAAGTCCACAGTGCTATTCATATACCTTCCCAAGCGTAACGCAGCCGGGCATCTTCACAGCTTTTGACACAAAGCGCCCACCACAACAGCGCCGTTCAGTCGCAGGCCAGAGCGCACACAGGCTGGCCCTACTGGCCGGAGCGTAGCAGGCCCTACTGCAATAGCTACTCCTAACGTAACCTAGCCTAACCTAACCTGCACCGCCTGTTGCGGTAGGGCCTGTTGCGCTCCGGCCAGTTGTGCTCCGGCGCTGTAAAGCAGGGGCTGTGTTGTGCAAAGCGGATTTGCTGTTAGCCGGAGTTACCCACAGCTCATTGATCTGAGGCTATGTGTAGATATTGCATGCTGATGGTTAGCGTTAGGCCCAGGGTCTGTTTACGAGTCAATTTTGTTACCCACGGCTGTGCTCCCCTGTGCCAAATGCATCATTTTTTGTTCATTTGCAATGCTTTTTTTCTTTTGTATTGCCAAAATCATATGCAAGACAGCCATGCTGCCTCCATCCAACCTGCATAATGAGTGTATAGTTATATATAGGTACATATATACCTATAAATGTATAGATAAAAATGCAATTGCTACATATATATATCAACAAAAATGATTTTAATAGTTAATCACATTTACATATTTGGTAATTAAAAATTTTTTTATAGAATTTATAGTTTTATATATTTTTTCAATGAGATTGCAAGGTGGCAAGCAGACAGTGGAATAGCCATATCTTGATCTACCACTTACTGGATCAACACTGGTATAATTAAAAAATTATGGTAAAATATTTTGATTATATTGCTAATTTGTTATGTATTATATGACAATTTCATGTATTTTTGCTTTTTAAGGGGTATAAACTTCATAATTGATTTTGGAAAACACAAAATTCTTGCATAAACTTGCTTGGATTTTCAAATGCAACTTTAGACAGGCATTACAAATATCTAATGTGGACTGAAAACAGATTTTTTAACATAAGGTCATCAATTCTATAACAGTGAAAAGAAATATTGCACTGAGAAATTAGCCCCCCCCGTGCCATCTCGTCCTTGTCGTGGGGGGGGGGGGCTTGCGTGTCTCGATGAGACCCGAGGCTGTACGGCCTCAGATGCAATCATGGCCGAACGGAGTCAAGTCCGTATACCGTACCCAGAGAAGGGAGCAGGGCGTACTGATGCCCACCCCAGTCTATATTCTGACTTTTGATGGCTGCCAGCTCCCGCCGTTCGTTGCGGAAGGTTGGACGCGCTGCCGGGTGCGACTTTACATCCCGAGGCCTCGCCGGTGCTTCAAGTGCCAGGGCTTTGGCCACGGGGCGGCGTCGTGTCGTGAGCCCAACTGCCAACTGCTCTCAGAACCAACACGAAATGCCCTGCACTCACCCAGCCAAATGTGCCAATTGCGGACAACCACATCCTGCCAGCTCCAACACATGTCCTACTTACAGAATGGAAGAAGAAATAATAGCCACCCAAACAAAAGAACGCATAAGCTATGGAGAAGCCAAGCGAATGGTAGGGAGCCGATACGTTAACACACGGACGACCTTTGCCGAAGCAACCCGGCAAACCATAACCCCAAATACTGAATTATCAAAGCGAAGGGAGCCTCCAAGACCAACGATGCCTTTGGTGACTAAATGCGATGGAGCTACTCAGACAAGCACAGAAGAAGCGGAGGACCCGAGCCAAAAACAAGAAGCTACCACCATAGAACATCGTGATAAACCCACGTACAGGTTCCACAGCCGACCAAAAACTGCACCTAAATCTCCACTAAAAGAACCTCCTACGAGTAACGTAGCGAGGAAACGAATGCAGAGCACCACCTCCCCTTTGTCTGAAATGTCAAAAGCAAAAATACCGAAATCACAGCCAACGCTCCAGAGCCAACGCCGCCAAAGCGGAGACTACTCTGCAGAGGAAGAATCCCGCAGAGAGAAAGTAAGGAAAGCGCCAAGCACTGACGTGGCTTACAGGGTGCGGTCGCTGGAGCGAGTTACCCACGTACCCGAATTTAGCAGTGACATTCTCAATAAATACCCCATCCCCCCACGCTTCCTGCATGCTGCTGCTCCTCCTCCCCCCATTGTGGAGATGCGCAGATGGGGCGAGAGGGATGAAGAAAGAAGACCCCCAGAACACACCGGTACCCTCACATCCCCATCAATAAAGCCTAAAGCTCTTCCACCGCGCGTGGATGCCCGGACAAAACCTACAAAGTAATCATGGCCTTGACGATCATACAGTGGAACTGCCCGGGATACCGCCGTAATTATGGCGATCTCAGGGCCGTGCTACGGGAGAGGCAGCCGACCTGTGTTTGCATGCAGGAAACGATGCTGGGAAACCTCACCCCGACCCCACCACAGAATTACCATATAGAAACTTTTTCAGACACACCCAACCCCAGACCTGGGTCTGGCCTTCTGATTTTGATGAAGCGTAGTGCCACCTGCATCAGGCTGGCTATAAATTCCCCTATCCTGGCCATGGCTGTACAAACGAACATAAACAATAGAATGCACACGATATGTAACATCTACATTCCACCAGGCCACCCGCTGACTGTTGAAGATATGAGAAATCTCATGGAACAACTCCCCAGACCCTTCCTCATAGTCGGCGACTTCAACGCCAAACACGCGGCCTGGGGAAGCGATGGAAACGACCAACGAGGGAGAATCATCGAGCATTTTTTAACTAATTCCGACATATGTCTCCTAAACACAGGCCAGGCTACCCATTTTCATGTACAGACTGGCACCACATCGGCCATTGACCTGAGCCTCTGCACCCCTGACATCGTGGACAGGGTGCGATGGTTTGTGATGGACGACACTTTTGGTAGCGACCACTTCCCGATCGCAATAGACTACGAGACCCACCAACCCGAAGTCATGCAATCAAGATACATCCTGAAAAGAGCAGATTGGCAAACTTTTGAGGCCCTAACCCGCATGGAAGACCCAGAACAGGACCTGCCAGTGGATCAGATGACGGAAAAATTTGCACGCACCCTCAGAGTCGCTGCGAGCATAGCAATTCCCCGCTCCAGAGGTGGACCTGTCCGACATCGCGTTCCATGGTGGGATGACGACTGTGCTCGCGCCAACCTGGACCGAAAACGGGCTTTGCGACGGTTCCAGCGCTCCGGCAACGTAGCGGACAAAATTGCATACAGGAGAGCTCGAGCCCTGGCCCAGCATGTTAAGGATGGAGCCCGGAAGAAGTCTTGGCAACGGTATACATCATCCCTGAACACCAGCACCCCCATGTCCAAAATATGGCAACGGATTAAGAAAATTGAAGGAAGAACCGGTCACAGCCAGCCATGCGTGAAAGTAACGGCACGCTCACGGCGGACCCCCAGCTTGTGGCAGACGAGCTGGCGCGGCATTTTGCCGACGTCAGCAGCGGAAATCACTATCCTCGATCCTTCCTTGCCACAAAACGACAACAAGAGTCACAATATCTAAATTTCAGAACAGACATCTTCTCATACAATGACCCAATCACCTACCTTGAACTATTCTGCGCACTCCAACATTTTAAGAAGAACACCAGCCCCGGACCAGACGGTATTCATTACAAAATGCTTAAGAAGATGCACCCGACTGCAGTTACGGCCCTCCTGGCCTTATACAATAAAATCTGGACCTCTCACTCATTTCCTACGCAATGGCGTACCGCTACTGTCATGGCCTTCCTCAAACCCAATAAACCACCAACAGAGACATCCAGCTATCGCCCCATCGCCTTGACCAGCTGCATGGGGAAAGTACTAGAGAGAATTGTTAACAATAGGCTTGTGCAATACTTGGAAAACAAAAACTTAATCTCTCCTGTACAGTATGGCTTCCGTCCACTTAGAGGCACCACGGAAGCATTAATCCGACTTCAAAACCATATAGTACAAAACAAAACTGAAGGAAAACACACCATCTGTGTATTCTTCGATATGCAAAAAGCCTATGACACCACCTGGCGACACGGCATACTTCAGACCATCCACAAGGGTGGGATTAGGGGCAACCTGGCCCTATACATCAGGGAGTTTCTGCGTGAGCGGTCCTTCAGGGTGAGGGTGGGGGGCTCTTTTTCGCCTGTGTGGGTGCAATACCAGGGAGTTCCACAGGGGTGTGTGATTAGCTGCACCCTGTTCCTGATGGCCATCAACGATGTCACCACTAGCTTACTCCCGGGCATACAATCCTCGCTCTATGTCGATGACTTCATGATCTATGCCTCATCTCGATACTTACCCGCTCTTGTACGCAGAATACAAACTGCCATAAACCGCGCAAACCAGTGGACCACGGCTCACGGATTCTCATTCTCAAGCGACAAAACCGTTGCTATGCACTTCCAGCAAAGTCGCTCTCAAGAACAACCCCCTCCATTTTTCCTACAAGGCCAACAAATCGCTGTGTCCCCCACAGCCAAATTTCTTGGTATGACATGGGACAACAAACTCTCGTGGAGACCCCATGTGCGGGCTTTAAAAGGCAGCGTCCTTAAGAGAATGAATTTGCTGAAGCACCTAACCGGACAGTCGTGGGGATCTGACCGTGTAACTCTTTTCCGCCTTTACAGGGCCATACTAAGAGCCAGGTTAGACTATGGGTGTATGATATACCAATATGCCAGAAAAACCACACTAGCGCTACTAGACCCCGTCCACAACGCTGCCATCAGGATATGTACTGGAGCATACAGAACATCCTCCACCATCAGCCTCTATGCAGAAAGTGGAGAACCACCATTGTATCTCCGCCGAGCGCAGCTTACGCTACAGATGATTACTCGTCTAAAACAACTACCGTTATCTCCAACATGGCTCACTGTAATGACCGAAGACCAAGCAAACCCATTTCCATATAACATCCCATCATCTGAAGACTACGGTGCACTCTTTGCAGCAACACAGGCCCAACAGATGCAGGTTATGCCCGTCACGTTCGAAGACAATCCCACGTGGCGAATCCCCATCAGCACCTTCTGCCCGGATCAAAATCTCCCACTAAAATCCGAGTTGCAGGCAACTGCGATGAAAAACCTTTTCCTGGACCACGCAACTACAAAGCATACAAATTCGACCCATATATACACTGACGGCTCAAAGTCGGACGACGCAGTGGGGTGTGCGGCTACGACCGACACAAAAACAATATCAAGACAACTGAGCCCCAACGCTTCAATTTATACGGCGGAATTGTCTGGCGTCCTCTGTGCCCTGGCCCTTATAGATGACCACCCCGAACGTAACTTTACAATATTTATAGACTCCAAAAGTGTAGTGCAGGCTGAGAACCTACAACAGCAAACATCCTATCATCTTGGAAATTCTGGCCTGGCTTTTGCGCCTGGTGGAGGCGGGAAAAACGATAAGCATCTGCTGGGTCCCGGGACACGTGGGGGTGCGGGGAAACGACAGGGCGGATGAGGCGGCAGTGGGCGCTGCTTCGTCGGACGCGGCCATTTATAGGGAGGACGTCCCATGTCACGACCACTACCCCCGCATCAGGACCAGCGTTCACCATAGATGGCGCGAGCTGTGGCTGAACACGAGAAACAATAAACTGAGAACAATCAAGGACAGTGTATCAGCATGGAGCTCCTCGTACCAGAGATCCCGACAAATGGAGATAGCGCTGTGTAGACTGAGGATTGGCCATACGCGCCTCACTCACGGCTACCTAATTGAACGGCGCCCTATACCATATTGTGACGACTGCCTGGTGCCCCTGACAGTTCTGCATGTCTTGGCGGAGTGCCCTAGCCACAACGACATCCGACGAAACTGCTACCCCAACACATCCGCCCTCGTTCATGACGAGATGCTCACCAGAATGCTGCGGGAGGACCGGCGAAGTAACTTCGAAACCGATAACCTTAGACGATACCTGATGGAATGCAACCTGCTGCCAGAGATTTAGCATGACCCCGTAACGCCACCGCCGGTCGGTCATATGCACTTGCACCACCGCCTTTAGCGAGACTATAATCGCACCTTGCCATAACCTAGACCAGGCCTCACTAAACTTACGCTGGAGTTGATACATGAAGTCGGAGCGGACCCTCGCTCCATGAGCAGGGAATCTACCGCCCAGCCCCTGCGCCTAAAATGGATCAGGCTATAAGCCTTGAAGACGGAAGAGACCATACATCTTTGACGTAGCTGAAGACCTCACCTCCGGCGCGAAATAGATAGCTATCTGAAGCGCTAGTAAATCTTTTACTACTACTACTACTACTACTGAGAAATTAGCGTGACCATCGAATATTGTAGTCGAGTGTGTGCGACAATGCCTTAGTCCACTAAGCCACGGAGACGGCAGTCACATAGTTGCAGTGTTTGTGTAGTGTTGTGCAGGGTACTACCAGAATAAATCTTTGATTTTATGATCAACTTATTGTGTGATTGAATGGTATAACGTCGCTCGTTAACATTACTATTGACAAAAGAACCGCAGTTAGTTGAAATAATTAACCAAATTGAGTTGGGCCAATTAACTGTATGCAGTGTAGATTCATGGCATTCATGAGCAGTGGCTCCACACAACCACCTGCTATGAGAGCATTTGGCGCACTAAGTGCTTTGAAGCTCGAAACACTTATCACCTACTGAAACACTTAAGGGTCTGAAATTTTCTCTCTGTGTGAACCATCAGATAGAATTTGAGCTATAAATCTGATCTGAGTCTTCTGATGGATTTGGATCCATATGTGAAATTGATAATTTTATTGTGTTTCTTAATATATTTATGATTTTTCTGTCCTCAATAAAAATCTCTCTCTCCTGTAGTTCTGTATTGCTCTATTTTTATCATGAAGCTATTGTACAGACCTCGGACTGTTGTAACAGCCGAAGTGGCCAAACTTATACCAGCCTTAAGAACAGCCATACGACCCAAGTGAGTTTGTCATTTATGTCATTGATTTCAATTGTTATGCACTGAAAGAAGTAATGCACTGAAAACTCTTTGGTCAACTCTCAGTTAACCCTAACACCCATAATATGTGCTGCCCACTTTGTGCTTGACCATGAAAACTAGAATTTACTGATATTGATCATGGAATTGAACACAACAATATTTTCCAGAAAACAGCTTGTTATTCTCCATAGAAATTCAAGTTTCTGATTTTATGTTATAGACAAATCCAATTGACCAGCATTTAAACCTATCCCATGTTTATTGTGAATGAGCGTTAATTGTTAATCAAATTTGTATGTTCATAGTTGAATTTAAAAAATACAAATTTTTCAACATTGGCTGCACTGATCAGATGTGATTAACAGATGGAAATATCTTTGTAAAGTCAGTCAAATTTATATATGAACCAATGCAGCTCTATTCAAGTATTTCAATTTTAATAGCATGTGAGCAGGCCATAGTTGTCATTTTGCTTGTACTTTTGCTTTCTCATGCATTAACTTATGTTAGAATTATTAAATGTGCAGTTACAGTAAAATTATTTGTTTTTCTGAAGCATTGGATAACTTTTTTTAGACCATTGAAGCCTTTTTAGAGAATTTAAAATGTTATTTTAGTTTGTTGAACATTGTTGTTCTATAGTGTTGAACATTGTTGTTCCATAGTGTTGAACATTGTTGTTCTATATTGGATGACATTGTTGTTCTACAGTGTTGAACATTGTTGTTCTATAGTATTGAACGTTGTTGTTCTACAGTATTGAACATTGTTGTTCTATAGTGGTGAACATTGTTGTTCTACAGTATTGAACATTGTTGTTCTATATTGTTGAACATTTATGTTTTATTGTGGTTAACATTGTTGTTCTAGCGTTGAAAATTGTTCTTTTCAAGTGTTTAACACTGTTTTTCTAGAGTGTTTAACAATTTCTTCTCTAGATAGTTGCCATTCAACAGTATTGAACACTGTTTGTTGTTATCTAGACCGTTGAAGTTGAGTAATGAAGAAGGCACGCTGGGCAAGTTGAACAGCCTGAGTCGCCTGGTGACGGCGCTGGTGAGAGACGAGCGCGTCGAGCACACCTACTCGACGCTGAGCGAGGCGCGCGACTACGCCGAGCGTCTCATCGCCGTCGCCATCGAGCACGGCGACTGTCACCAGCCCACCATGGAGCTCGCCGACTTCTGGCTCAAGGAGAAGCAGCTCGTCCATAAGCTTTTTAAGGTTAGAGCTTCTCACAAACAATTATGTTATCTGTAATTTCTTTAGTTTGAATACTTTTTAGTATAAGAAACGTCACAATTATGTAAATTTTTACGTTGATGAAAATTTTGATTAACTGGGGAAAATGTGCAATTTTGATCAATTCACATTCTCGGAACTTCACGTGAATAAGCTTTATGTGTTGTGCATATCTACTGATTTAATAATGTTCTTCATCTGTATAAATTCGATCAAGTTTTACTCTTCAGGCTAAGCAAGGATAAGTAATGAAGACAAACTGAGCAGGTTTTAGTGCCTCGTTTCCGCGACTCGACGGTATCCTACACAAAAATGTATAAAGCGCCAATAGCGTATCCTGCTTCCAAGTATGAAGGAGGGAATCTTCAAGCTCGAGCTGACCTCCCGCAGGCCATCCTAGAGCTGAGAAGTGAGTAACCCTGGACCTACATGTCTGAAGTGACGCTCAATTTTATCGGCTGAACCGAACTAGTTAATTCATGTATTTTATAACGGAGATTAGAGAATGGTTTCACTGCACTTACGTCTGTTTATAATTTGGAATCCATCACGCGTAATGAATTTTTTTGACTCGGACTAATACAATGTCTTAGCTTGTATATAAATGAGGTCTTAATGAGGACCATATCAAGAACTTGACTTCGGCATGTATAAGACTGAACTTTTCTTATTGCGTTATTTCTAATAGTTTTATCATTGTAGACCGTAGACGTATGTCATATAGTTCTTAAAAATAATTTCGTAATTTATAATCGCTTGTCTGAATTCTCTTTCTTGATCTCGTACGAGGTTTCTGATTACATTTAGCGATTCCGACTTTACTTTCGTTTAAGATAGATGGTTTGGTTTAGTCAAACTATATCCAATTTGGTGAACTAAGACGCGTTAGTCTTCCTGTTCCCTCGGTTGTCACTTGGATGCTACGCCTGATCAATGCACAGGTTGGCCTATGTTTTCATTCAAATAATTTTTATCCCACAAACTTTTCTTTGATACTCGCGAAATAGATATATTTCTCTACCATTATAAATGATTTCTTCGTTGATTTAACATGCATTTGAAGATAATAACCAGGTGTTGGAATTTCCAGACAACCCTCTGCTGCCAGTTCTGCCTCGTCCAACCCCAACCAGGAACTGGATCCACAACGTACTGCTGGAGGAGGCGAGAAAAGAGTACAGCCAAGAGAAGAGGATGGGCGAGGAATTTGCCGCGCTTGAACGCATGCAAACAATGGAGGATCCTGGACCCGACAAAGAAATAGATTAAGTCAAGTTCAACAACTCCTCATAATATAATGTACATGTCTTGTAACGCGTTAAATAAGGATGATTTATTTTCTGGCCTTTCATTTCTCTGTACTATTGATGGAATTAGCTTATGCACAGGTTTATCGGCGTGGCGATAACAGTTATAACTCGACACAGCTTCAACCTTCTATGTTCATTTAGTCGATTCGAGCGGAAAATTCGTCTTTAACCGGGAATTTTTCTAGTGCACCGACATTTCCCATTAAACGCTGCTAAACAGTGTCTAAATCAAACTTTATGAACGACATTACACCGGCGTTGCCTGTTGCTGAGCGCGCAAAATATTGCACAGACGAAGAATTCGGCAAGAAAACACAGCAGGAATAGAAGTTTAATCAAATGCTAACAAACACTCGTACATTATGAGATCTCGCCATCCAAATGTCCCAAAAAACGGAGGACGGCAAGCAATTTTTCGGACTTGGCAGTGTGCGGAATTCGTTATGATGAAAAAGTAATTATTTGAGTTTCTTATTGATGAATATTTTCACGCAATTGTGGAAATTATATGGCAGATTTTGAGGTCAATTCCATCAGATTTATTATAATAAACCCAGGGACGCGGGAAACATGGACAATATTGAGAAAATCATCAATCTAGTTTAATTAATTGCATATCTTTAATGATATAATACGTCAAAGCCGCAAACAACGCAGGCATATAGTTTATCTATCATTCACAGGGCACATAATTATCTTCAAAACTTGAACTGAGAAAAGTAAAAGAGAAATAACTGTATTCAGTTAGAAGCATAATTGAGATTTATCTTCTTTTGTACCTATAATTTGCACCAAAGTTTATAAATCAATATATTTTATCCTATTTAATACCGGTCGTATTAACATACTAACTAAGGCACAGTTTGTTGCTATATGCATTCATACCAAAGCTTCTGTAACCTGCGAATATCAAGTAAAGATATAAAAAGTATAATATCTTGATAGGTCAAAGAAATGTGGCTATACTGTGGCCTAAGTATGATGCTAAAATATCCAAAGTGACAATACAGATCAGTTCCAACAGCCTGGAAAATGAGCACAGGAACTTAAAGAACTCTGCCAATATTACACGGTAAAATAATGAACATTGTAACCTATGAACTCGACTAATTCATTGCCGGCACCCAACGTTTGAGTATAACTTCAAGTGCAGCACAAGTAAATGGTGTGCAGCACTAAATAAGGAACAGTGCATAGAGGGTTGTAAGCAACACGCGGTACACTAACACATAACGCAATTCAAATGAGAGGTAAGTAATCACGCTCGTACAAAACTTAAGGCTAAATAGAATTATACTCACAAAATTATTAGGGAAGTATCATGAAAATTAGTAGTGCACTTCTTAACGAAATCACATTAGGAAATAAAATATTTGATAAGGTTTTCCAACTTACAAGATTGCAAAGGGCATAAATTCTAAAAAAAAGTTAAGGAAAACAAACTAGGTATTCCTCCAAACTAATGAGTTATGTAGCCTGGATATACTTGCAATTAGCTTACAACTTCTCCACAAAATACTGATAAACTACAACAATTTACTCAAAACGATAAAACTGCGGCCAGGCCAGTTAACAACTCCATACCGCAGTGTATGTGGTGACTGAAAAATATCCCATGAGAATACTTTAAGGTAAAAAAATCAACAGGTCCCCACTTGAATAAAAATAATTTCAGTTCTGGCTTATTTTAGCTCAATGAAGAACATGTCAAGTCCATCTCTTCTCACTTGCAACCAGACAAATTTATATCACATAGATGCGCTAAAGAAAAGGGATAAAATTTCGTTGATATAAGACCAGTATCGGACGAGTCCGTGTGATGTCTTTAGTGAAAATTTATTTCAGGCGAGAGGGCGCACGGTTATGTACCGCAGTAATTAAGGTTAAGGTGACTAGGTCGTGGATTTGTAGTCACTTAAGCTTAAGGATAAAAGTTTTCATGCCCCAAACAAGAAGTCGGTGGTAAGTCAAGAGTGATCAATCATAGCCTGAGCCTGACTTGTACCGCCACGAAGACAGAATGGAAGGTCGCTTCGTTTTAATTGAAAATCACTTAATAGAACTTTAAACAGTCTATGAGTCATTTTGTACTTTCAATATATTTCAACAATTGGCAGCAGAAAAAAGGTCTGGAAACAACATTCTTGCAACTGCAAAGCAAAAAGTTAACAAGGGTGCAGTTTAAGAGAAATCAATTGCCGCATGCAAAAGACTAATAATATAAGCTATAATTTTGGGGGCTTGTTTGTCCATGAAAGTTCTGTTGCTTTAAAGAGTTTGGCCCTTTATACTATGGCCACTCGTTTAATCTCATCACTTCATTTCTACCAGAGCAGAAATGATTAACTTCTTATTTTATCACAACAAAATCTGACATTTCCAACTTCTACCCTACAGCCACTGCAGTATATCAAGTGAAAGGAAGTCAAAGCCATCGCTTTATATTAAAATGGCACTCAGTAAACGGCGCAAACTACAATCGCCGGTGACACTCGAAAGGTAAGAAGGTTAAACCAAAATCCATCAGTCCCGCAGTTACAAACACATACACGCTGCAAGCGCGCCACTCAACAGGTATATATGGGATACAGGGGGGCTGCTTCCTAGCAGCTGTAGCAGCGAACACAACTACATTATTCATAGCCTTTTAATGCATAACAGCATTTTCTGACGGTAAGTAACTTCTATGTTCTCTGGAAAAAAGGCTCATCTCCTTAGCTTGTTAGAATTGATAATTTCCAGAAAATCGCAATTTAATAGAGCGATATACAACCACTGCTCTTACCAGAATAACGGCGTCTAAAAATTGATCAATTGCACAAGCATCTCCTTTTATGGCAATTCAACTGAACTGAATTGAGTCCCGTGAACAGATTCTGAGTCTCATAATTGGTAAGCTATGAACACCTGCCTGCTAGATGTTCAAAAGAGCATGAGAACACAACCAGCCACTTGCGTGACACAAGAAAATAGCGCGTCAGGCTGCGCGTGGTAATAGGGATCCCTACGTTGAGCGCAGGAACTTATTCCTCACATTCTCCCCACGCGAGCTCGGCGTCCATGTAATATTTCGCTGCCAGTTTGCCCTTCATCGCTTCGGTAGCAAGTTGTGCAGCCTCGCTGTATAATTCACCTACGGAATAAAATTTCAAGATTGAAGAGGGAGAAAAAAAATATATTTCTAACATTTTTTAATTAAAACAGAATGTTATTGATATGCTTTGTTGTTTCTAGTCCACCAAAGTACAGGACCCTGAGATTAATAATGCAGAGAAAATCATGACTACACACCGCATTAGACAGAATAGTTTTCCTGTTATATTAACGGCACAAGAAAGTAGACGCGCATGACAAGAAGAAGTGTTGTCTCAACACGAGTTATTTCATCAATAAACACTCGTAGCACATAATAATGTAAAATTCATTTCGAACCAATATTTACACTCCAAGGTAACAACTCGAATTCGCTCAACATCAAAGTAACTACACGTTAATTACTTCAGATGAACTCAACATGAGATCCTGACCCCCGAGCCACACCTGCTCTGTTGGGGTCCTTGATGAGGCCGTGGCCGCCCTGTAGGTACATGGCGGCCTGGCGTGCCTTCAGGAGGTAGTTGGGCGTCTCCATGACGGCGTCGTAGCCGCCCTCGTCGTCCTCGCCGCTCCCCGTCAGCGCTCGCTCGTACAGCACATCTGCCACCACCCAGTTGCGGCTCCTGTTCACCAGAATATTCAATTCAATACAATGTGTGAAATACTTTGCACCAAACGTGCCAGATTATCATTCGTTTCGGTCGAGAAAAAATTGGTGTGCCTCTACTTGAACAGCAGTTTGCTCGAGGTTGAGTTAATGGACTTTGGGACAAGTGACACAGATACTCCTTAGCTCGAGAGAAACCAAGTCTCTGAATGCTCGAAGACACAATCTTTGTTATGAATTAGACAGCAACTCAATCGACGTTGCAGAGGAGGGAGGGCAGTGTGGCATACCCACCTGCCAGGGGGGAGGGCAGTGAACTCACCTGCCAGGGGGGAGGGCTGTGTACCCACCTGCCAGGGGGGAGGGCAATGTACCCACCTGCCAGGGGGGAGGGCAATGTACCCACCTGCCAGGGGGGAGGGCAGTGTACCCACCTGCCAGGGGGGAAGGCAGTGTACCCACCTGCCAGGGAGGAGGGCAGTGTACCCACCTGCCAGGGAGGGCAGTGTACCCACCTGCCAGGGGGGAGGGCAGTGTACCCACCTGCCAGGGGGGAGGGCAGTGTACCCACCTGCCAGGGGGGAGGGCAGTGTACCCACCTGCCAGGGGGGAGGGCTATGCCCTGTTCAAGAGCCGTCGCCACGTAAATGATGGACCAGCGGTCGCCGGCCCGGCAAGCCTCCTCCAGGAAAGCGAACCCAAGGACTTGGTCGCGCTCGGCTTCGCTCAGCTGTCGTGATGGCGAGTTAAATGTGAAGAAACCATAGCATTAAACTTTCTGGGATTCATTAATAAATAACAGAAGTAATGAAATAAAAACAATAAGCAGTAAATTGGTATTTTTAAAAGTGATCTCCCACAGCTACAATGTGTCGATTAACACGCAAAAATATTCAAGAATTTTACTCGATACCTCCAAATATCTACCGTCAAACGGGGTAAAAAATGACGGTTTTGAGCGTTTTTTGTTAATAACTTCTTACCATGAAACATTTCAGAAACAAGTTTAGGCTCATTTTAAACCTCTTTGCGAGGGCTATTCAATGGCATCTTCAAACAAAATTCCATATGCTAATCGTTAGGTGCCAGACGCAAAATAAAACCGTCCTGGATTACCCCTGGCAATGGGGTAATCCGGGACACTTGCAATACAAGTTAATTTTAAAACGTTTGAAGCATGCAGAGTGTACTCATCTATTACTAACAGTACTTTGAAGTCCTCCTTTTTCATTGTAGATGATGTAGATGTAAAATAAATGACATTTTCTGTGATTTTTACTTGTTTTTCTTTTATTGATATGATATCACCATATTCATTAATTACCGTATTATTAATGTAATATTAATGTATCCATGGGCATGCCATTGAGCATTGACAACAACCTTGTCCACTGCAAGCTTCATATCAGCAGCCATGTAGCATTTCTTCTGTATCTGTAAGCTTACAGGATGGTTTGTATTTTTTGCACAATTTTAATCGAGTCTAGTGATTTCACTATAACGAAAAAGATTGTGAAAAACATACCTGAAACAGAAAGGAATGTTTTAGTGACAACCATGTTATGTTTTGGAGATATAAATCATGGTTTAGGTCAATTAATTTTCATTCTATAATGCCTGGTGCACAATTCTATATATGACATTCTATGTACAGTTTTGTGACGACTGATGATGCATTAATTTTTCGATAAGTGAATTTTTTCGCTGAATGAGGAAAATGTTATCAAAATTCTTTGTTGTTAATCAATTTTTTTGTTAACTGGAACCTTTGCTAACCAAGGTTCTACTGTAAATGCATTTTTAAAGGTGTCCCTAATTACCCCGGGGGGTAATTAGGGACATACATACGTCCCGAGTAGCCCCGCTGTGCGGAAATGGCTGCGATTTTATTTTTTTGGAATGAGATAGGACAATTCCGTCAATTAATTTTTCAAGCCGACACCTGGGTGCAACTTTTATGTAAGTAAAATTTTTCAATACGGCGAATATTTTTTTTGCTCCAGACCTTAGCAGAAGTACTTTTCCAAAATCGCACTTTTCACACTTTTTTTCAGCGATTTTTTAGAGATAGTAAATGTTTGATTTCTTGACTAGCTTTATACGCAATAGGTAGTAAAAATGTTGAAGTTTACGCCACTATTTTTAGTTTTGCAATATTTTGATTAGTTTAGCTGCTACAACATTTCTACGAAATGTGGGACGCGCGTCCCGATTTACCCCGCCCGTCCCTTTTTACCCCGTTTGACGGTACCTATATCAGGTTCAACAAGTCTCTCATCATTTAACGTAATAATAAACTAGTGTAGGTTTACATTTTGCGGTATATATTTGCCGAGCAATTTTCTTAAATATATAATCGATTATATAAGATAATAGACTGTTCATCTCTGCAATGTCACGCCGTAGTCGCACCTCCTGAACAAGAAAGACGACTCCGGCAATAGAAATAACAGCAATAGATAAGTGATATCCGATAGAAAAGGAATACAATGCAACTCTGGCATGATTAATTTTCGTCGATCAATAAATCATCCAGCATAATTTGGCTAACACCATCCGAAAATTTACACAGCAGAGCCATTATAGGAAATGGACCTCTAATGTCCACGCATTTGGGACGATGTGTTGGCCTCTAGATCTGATCTCAAGGCGAGAGGTAGGCTTACTGTATGACAAGCACTCATCAGATCGACCACAGGACGGCACGCTGTGTCTGCTACACGGCTACATAGCAGGTGATGACAAAAACACTTGTGTAGATTCTCAATATTCAAAACAATCCTGTAAAACCCTCTTAAAGATATATCACGGGAAAAACAATCAATCAGAATAACCAATTGACGAAGAAAAAATAATAATATTAGCGAAGGTAAATGACTTGTTCTGAACGTCTAAGCCAGGATGACATAAGACGTTGATGCCTCACCTCGGTGTCAGGCAAGATGTAGTGCGGCAGGCCGAGCAGGAGCTGAGCTGCGGCTAGGAGACCCTCGACCAGACCGCAGTGCGCCGCCTGCATCACGTGGAACACAGCCGCGTCTCGGTCGTAGTTTTCCCCCTCCTCGTTGAACCTGTTCAGCTCGTAGTACTTGGCCATGTCCAGGTGCACCTTAGCGTAACAAGAAATTAATTAAATGCAGGTAGATTCCGGCATAGCAGACCATGTGATACAATTTGCTAAAAACGTAAGCGTATCATCACAGAAATTGCTAAAAAAATTATCCCAACCAACGAATTTTTTCTTCATGAAAATTGGTTAATCTCGACAAAAAAAAAAAGTAGATATAATAACAATGCTATTCATTTAGACGAATTCAATGTTTCATACATAATTTCTCATGTTAAACGCAAGATGATATGAAACAAAAATTTCATCTAATACCTACGGTATACTCTGAATCCATCGAGATGAAAAGGCATTGTTGTAGAAATTATGAAGTGTAGGGATATAATTTATAGCTCAGATATTTGCGCGTGCGTTATACAGAAGAGCGCCCGTTCAAGGTTAAAAACTTAAGCCTATCGTACAATAAATCAACATGATGTTCAATGGCAGTGAAGCATGTGCGCTGAATGATTTTCGGTCTCACCTGTCCCAGAATAACGTCCCGGTCTCACCTGTCCCAGAATAACGTCCCAGTCTCACCTGTCCCAGAATAACGTCCCAGTCTCACCTGTCCCAGTCTCACCTGTCCCAGAATAACGTCCCAGTCTCACCTGTCCCAGAATAATGTTGACGCTGTCATGTCTGGGCACGTCGAGAGCTAGAAGGAAGTCTCGCTGCAGTTCAGGCGACATGATGCGTGACGGGCGACTGCGGCGGGTCACCATCGCTGAAAACTGTAACCAAAGCAACACTGAGCGAGTCCATTATATTAAACCGTTACAATCTTAATGGAGAAAGCTACGAATGTAATAACAATAGTGTTGGCAAATGTAGATACATTTTATTCAACTTTTGACGTCTTTCTATTTAGTACCTACTTGTTCTAAACTCAGTCTTAACTAGAGTTAATATCACACAAATTTAAATTTCGAATTAATAAGTTAAAACGAAAAACCAAGCAAGGAACGGGTATAATTATACAAAATATACCACGAAACGTGATGCCATACATGACACCGACGAGTCTGTCAGAGTATTAAAAAACTTGATTACACACAAGCTAAGATATACAACAGTCATAAAAAAATAATAATTAAATACGCAAAAAAGTAGCAAAAGCAATGCACAAAGAAATCGGCAAATTGTAATTACGAGCAGGAAATAAACTTCAAACGTTTTGAAGGAATTTAATTGAAGCAAACATCCAATGAAATGTTCTTTGAATTTTGCTTTCAGTTATTAGCTCTTAGAGGGCAGACACGACAAAGAAGTACACAAAGAAAGCATGCCGGGAATTATATGAAGCATCATAATCATAAAACACAGAAGATTATCAATAAAAATTTGGTTGGAATCAGCCACATAGAGAATTTTCAACAACATTTTAACAGGAGGTGAAAAGTGTCGAGCTAAGCACTAAAACAACAGCGTAACACCGGTCAACTATTTAACTTACTTTCTTCATTTCATGTTCTTGCTGCGGAAAAATAGATCAAATGAGATGATATTGATTGCAAGAGCTAAGAAGGACATATTAGAAATATTAAACTGTATGAAATAAGCAAAGGCCAAGAGCGATTTTTTGCAACGCAAATAATCAACAAATTTCGAAAATGGAACTTAATACATTTTCATTTTATTGTGAAGAATACCAACAACACAACCACCTACATAATTGCAATGTTTGCATAGCAAAAGCTCCTAATTTAACAACTCACGAAAGATATATTGGCTATTCTATATAAAGTTGAATATGTAGCTAGCAGAACTCACATTGACCATATCAGCGCGAGTGATCGAGTCGCACTCAGACGAAGATGAGTCGAAGCGAAGCCTGGGCTGTGGCGGGTTGCAGATGGAAGGAACACCCAGGCTCTCTGCAGACTGCCTGTCGGCCTCTGCAAGCAGCAGAGTTTGCTGCGCTTGTATGGCGCTCTCGCTGTTCCCCGAACGTCTGCGCCGCCCAGCGTCTTTAGGGGCTTCATCACCAGGAGGGTTGCTCAGGCGTCGCGCAATGCGGGGTCCTCTACAAACGGTGGCGAATTTCGAATTTTCCGTGCGTATTCATAAATTAGTTAGACATTTAGACATAAACCAGAACTTACTTGAAGTCATGCGATGCATTTTTACTGCGAATAGCGGGGTAAAACTAACTTAGATGATCCACTGTACTTTATACTTTTTTACATGGTTTCACATGTTCACTTTAACAACTTGACAACAAAGAGCAGAAGGAGATGGCCAATGCAGACCAAAGTTTGAACTTTCTTGGTCGATTATCGCCACAAGATAAGGCGTAAAAAAGTAAAGAGACGCCTTTGCCAAAACGAGATCAAAACTGAACAGCGAATGAAATACCAGGCACAAGGGAAAGATGTAAACAAATTACCTGGCAAATCTTGGGCGACTTGCGCTCATTGCCACAGCGGAGTCCTCGCTCTCGTCCACGCTTTCATCCTGCAGAAATTGGTTCAGCAAGCCATTTGACATGGCTGAAGCAGACACAACACAATTATATGCAGTTCAATTTTAGGCATGATGGTGTGCGATCTGAATTTGGAATGAAAGAACTTGGGTACAATCAATCAATTTAATTGTAGTTTGAGATATTAAACGCACGCGGAATTTCGGTCGTTGTAATTTCAATCAGTTAATGAATTAATGCGGATATTTGGATGTATATTTCTAGCAATTAGATAGACAAAGCAAAGTTGAATCAATACAGACCCAGCACTATATGCCAACAACGAGTCATGTGAAGAGACCGGTGAGCAGCACCCTTGGACCCACCAAACTCTCGCAGGACGCGATGTTGAGGTCGGCGATGATGTTGTCGTCCTCCTGCGTGGAACATCCCGACGACTGCGAGCGCTGCCGCAGGTACTCGTTCAGGTCCAAGCGCTGCTCCTCTGTAGGCAGCGTCACGTGCTCCTCCGTGCCGCGCACGCGCGTCTTGCTGCTCACCTGCGAGCACCGAGTTAATAGTGATGATGTAAACTCGTATTATACTACCAATCAGCTCGTTGATAGTGATGATATATCTCTTATTATACTACCAATCAGCTCGTTGATAGTGATGATATAAACTCTTATTATATTATCAATCAACTCTTGAATAGTGATGCTATAAACTCTTATTATGTTATCAATCAGCTCATTGATGGTGATGCTATAAACTCTTATTATATTGCATTACGTGCGCTAAAACAGTCAACGGCAGGCAACAATATACCTAATAGGCTCACAAGGAACTTCAACAACAATCAGATAATGGTGATTGCTGTGATCCTAAGTAATGCAAATAATGTCACTAAAATATAGTTTGTAGTATTAATTTTGTCTTTTTGTGACTTATACCCATGCCTAAAACTGAAAAAACGTATTTTCTAAGCTGTAAGCATTCAAATTTGCGATAAAACAAGGAAAAAGTGAAGCTAACACACAATTCTTGACCGAGTGAACTATGACAACCCTTCAAGGCTCCATATTATACAATGGGTCAGCGCTCTGAAATTCCTGCAATAAACTTCCTCCATAATAGTTTTACCAAAAAGTAGCAAGGTTCAATAGCGCATCAGTTTTTAAGCTATTTCGCACCGGATGACGAAGATAAAAATCCTCAGCAGGGCGAAAGGTGTCAATACTTGGAAATTTATTTAAATCACGGTAGGTCCCAAGTGGCTGGCCCGCTGAAGTTGGCAAGAAAGAAGCAGCGTTTGCATCTCAAAGTGAGGAACGAATACGAAGTGATACGTGGGTGAAAATCAACAGCAAAGGAAGACAGTTGTACAAGAGGTTGTTTACATGAAAAGTGGCCTCCTGCAAGGACTAGAGAGGCAGAGGAGAGAAATGCAAAGAATCCTACACAACAACTGAGACCCACAGCCAGACACCGCGAGCTCTGTGGCGGGGAACGCGAAATGCTTATAGGATTTTTGATGACACACGTCAAAAGTTCACTCTCTTGAGGGGTCATACAAGTTTAACTAGAAATTTTTTAGAAAAATTATACCACATGACAACGGTCATTGCTATAAATGTGATCGAACTCACAGAGGTGCGGTTCTGCCTCTGGAGCTTGGTGATCTCTGAAGGCGCCAAGTCAAACTGCGAGAGCCCCAGTGAGTGGCAGATGCTGTTGCAGACGTGCGAGTGGAAGAACAGCGCCATGCCCCGCGTGCCCAGGTTCCCGTCACCGTATTCAGTTCCTGAGAATCACATCCTCAATCTTAATGTGTTGTATAGTCTCAAGGTTTGTGAAAGTTTGAAGCTGGGATGGTTAACTGCTATAGTATATTGAATACTCACACCTTGAGATTGAATAACTAATGGCTAATTAAATACTAATCTCACAAGACTATGCTGGCCATTACTTTCAGTTGTAAAAAAGAACAAATAAATTGGAAAATAAGAATGTTTGAGGAGTTGCACGTACCTTAATTATTTGAATTCAAATAAAATTCTTTGAAATTTGCTGCTAATTTAATGAGAATACAAAGCAGGAGCCAAGTATATAGAACTTTCTTTTGTTGAATGTGCAGGGAAAAAATGAGTACAATTGTGTGAAACTCTTCAATGATGGAGTGAATGGACACTTTAATTAACATAATGCATTCATAAATAATAAACTATGGGACAACCTTTGGGAGACAACCTTTATGTACATAAATTGAGAGTGGAAGTTATGAAGAGAAAAGCAAGAAGGACGACACACACGAGCAGCGGCCGCGCCTCACCGTGCGCTGTGTGGATCTGAGGATCCGTGTACAGATCACCGACGCCCTGCACGTCTACAACGATCAGCTCGTGGCCAGATCTGCAAACAACATGATCCCTCAGTACAGTGAATGGGAATTGCCCTCAGTACAGTGAATGGGAATTGCCCTCAGTACAGTGAATGAGAATTGCCCTCAGTACAGTGAATGAGAATTGCCCTCAGTACAGTGAATGAGAATTGCCCTCAGTACAGTGAATGAGAATTGCCCTCAGNGGACTCTCCACCCGAGCCACCCGGCCATGATTGCATCTGAGGCCGTACAGCCTCGGGTCTCATCGAGACACGCAAGCCCCCCCCCCACGACAAGGACGAGATGGCACGGGGGGGATGACACCAAAAAAACAGCTAATCGATTCTTAGAGCTGAAAAATTTTCATCTAATAAAAAGTTGTACAGAAAGAATTAGGAACTTCTGGGTGGGCCCGACCTTTCAAAGGTGAAATGCGAGAATGCATGAGGAGTCATGCGCATCTTGGACGATGAGACGTAGCCGGAGTTGCTGTTGTACTTCACGTAAGAACCTTCAATGAAATGCTCCACATGGAACAGAGGACAGCCCGGCCGCTCCAGCAGCTCCAGTACCGCCATCTGGAAAATGTCCACCTGCACAGGCAACGATCTCACTTTACGCTCTGATTCATGATGTCGGAGAAAAGATATATTTAAAATTTATTAGCAAATGAAGAAACAATGAGATCAGTAACAAAAAATGCAGTCCTTGAGATTGTTGAGAAAGTATAATCTTAATTGTAGAGCATGCAAAATTAGTTATAATAATGCATAATGAAAGTAGTCTAATGAGGTTGTGATCAGGAGTTCTGTTGCCATTCACTCTTTAATTCTCGAGCGAAACTTTATGAAATTCTACAAAATTATACACTTCTTAAAATGGAAAGTAAAATCATACATTAAGAACGCCCTACCAAGGGATCTAAGAGAGGGGGAGTTCACCCTGGAGACCTTCAAGAGACAACTAGACGTGTTCCTGGGCACAATCCCAGATCGACCTCCCCTGCAACACTACCAGCGGCGAGAAGCAAGCAACAGCATCGTGCATCAGGTGGCCCAAATGAGGGCGGATGAACGATAATCAGAGGCGGCGATCCATCGTGGCCTGGGACTGCTATGTCCCCAAACAAATACTAAGGATACTAAGTATCATTTGGGTCACAAAACCTTGGTGCTAAATAATGGACTTGAACGTCTAAATATTGCAGCTAATGAGCAATGAGACTGAAATAAAAAATCGCAATGTGTCTAACCTTCTTTGGAGGATTGTGTCGGTTGTATTCTTCCCCCCAAAGCTTAGCATCCATCTAGAAAAGAAACATACATAGAAATGCCAATAAGATGATTAGCAAGCAACACATCAATATCAAATATTTATTTCCTAAATTGGCACACGTAAGTGGGTTTTCGAGCGATCGTTTCAGCGCATAATATATACTGTATGTAGTAGAAAATATATATTAGAAAAAAATATATAGAAAGCTTAGAGACAGCCCTGAATCGCATATATTTACCTGGAGTAATCTAGAAAAAGAAAGAAGAAGAATAAATATTTACCCATAAAGTTGCAGTGAAGCAAAAGGCAGATTTTACCTGAAGTTTGACGTCATCGTAGTAAGTCTGTGGTGGGGTTGCCTCGTTCATGTAGCGCTTGGCCACGTAGTTGTGTGCCTTAGACCAGTCGTCATGGCAGAAATTGCTCAGCTTCTTCCTGCAATTCAAAGGTCGCTTTCCTAAATATAGGTACTTCTGCTATAAGTAGAATAATCATAAATGAAAGCAGAATCTTGACTCTCTGTCACTCACTGCAGTGAGTGACAGAGAGCGCATTTTCTCGTCGACGAAAACTTGAGGTCACGGACAGACGGACGGACGGACATGGCGAGCACAATAGTGCATTTTTTCCATAAATGAGAAAATGCGCTAAAAACGGTTTTGCACTTAAAAATTTTGACCCCCCAGGCACATCAAGAAAGGTGACATTGCCGAAGTCATACACAAGTTATGTACCAGTGCAAGTTGACCAGAATAGATCAGTAAATTCATTCTAAGCCAAATGAGAAAATTTCAGTTGTCATGTATTTAAGGTGCACAAATCTGATCGATAATGTGAGAAGATAAACTGCCAGCAAATATTGGCACAGCAATTTAAATATTGAATTTGAGTATGAATTCTTGAACGAGGTTAGTATGAATTTATGAATGAGGTTATGCAAGTAAATTTTTATCCATGCATATTGCCAAAAAAGCTACGTGATAGAAAATTTTCTGAAAAATATATTACACATGTTGGAAAGACACGAGGAAGAAACAGCATATCGAATAGAGACGAATTAAGTGCAGAAAAATGTTCATTATGAAATTTGTAAAGGAGAGCCTGATACATGAGTGAGTGAGTTAGTGAGTGAGAATTATTTATTTTTTTATTATTATTTTTATTTATTTTTTAAATAACTAACATGACATGAACTCACATACGGAAACACTCCCTCATGGCGCCGTGACTGAAGGGCGCCGTGTCCATCTTGACGAGGACCTCGTCGGTGACCCACTTCTTCTGCAGCGCCTTGTAGCGGTGACGCCGCGCCTTCTCCATCCTGAACTGCGCGATGTCGAACTTCTCCCATGGATCCCGCATGGCCTTCACCTGCACACCACAGCTGGGGCGTCATGTGGTGTGTGGGGTGGTGGTGATGAGCATCATATAGTTAGTGGGGTGGTGGTGAGCATCATATAGTTGGTGGGGTGGTGATGAGCATCATATAGTTGGTGGGGTGGTGGTGATGAGCATCATATAGTTAGTGAGGTGGTGGGTGATGAGCATCATATAGTTAGTGGGGTGGTGGTGATGAGCATCATATAGTTAGTGGGGTGGTGGGTGAGCATCATATAGTTAGTGGGGTGGTGGTGATGAGCATCATATAGTTAGTGAGGTGGTGGGTGAGCATCATATAGTTAGTGGGGTGGTGGGTGATGAGCATCACACAGTTTATTTAGTGGGGTGATGTGTCCGCGGTGGTGTAAGGATGAAGTGATGTAGGAAGTGTGTGATTGATTCACAACTTTTAAACTCAATCCAGGGAATATATTCATGCTGAACAGGCTTTCTCGCCCCCAGACAATGGAAAATTTTTAGCAACATCTTCGTGATTCTCTCAACATGTGCAGCGGCTGAGTAGGTCAGTTTCACAAACGAAACATATTAAAAGAGGAAAAATTACAGTATAAGAGAAAACGATGTGAACATAAATATAATCATCTTAAAATATTAAATGATTCTAAGGAGCAATGTCTGAGCACAAGAAGTTCACCTGCCACACCATGTGTTCTCTTTTAAAAAATTCATTATGATCCAAGCAGCGTATGACCAGCATAATTAGGTGTTATGAATAGGGTTTAAAAAGGGATCATTGGTTTGACAGCTGAAATGTTTGCAATCTTACAAAGTCCCGCACTCTTAAAAGCAATTCAAAGCAAAAAAAAAAACACAAACAAAATCCAATATTAAAAAGCAATTCAAGGAGAAAAACACAAATAAAATTCAATATTAGTGCTCCTTGACGGAGCACCTATGAGAAGAATGTTCAGGTGTTCCTCTGAGATCAAAATCACTCCTCCATTCCCACAACCTGGTGCCTTGAAGGAACCACTCGTATCCTATCCTACCATGAGAGGCCAGCACAGAGATGAGGTAGACACAACAGTTCCATCTTATCAGAAAGAATGCATCTATACCCATGAAAATTACATTTTCTTCATCAGCCAAAAAATTTTGCTGCTGATAGGACATCAAATCCATGAAATGGCAGAAGTCTTGGCACAAACAAAAAGAAATATGTTATCATTTTGCTCTCTAGGGTTATTCAAAAATTCAATCTGAAAGATGAGAGAATAGTTAAAGGTCTCTCAGCAAAACTCAATTCCTATACAAATGATGCAGGAAAGAAAGGCAAGAATGATGCCTATATATATACAGATCATTCCGATATAAATGCCTACAATAACACCAGTGCTTACTTTATTATAGGCATTTTTCCAAGCCATGCGGGCCAACATTTTGTGCTTGGCGCTGTGGCCATCCTTCTTGCTGAGCCCATAGACCACAGAGAAGAACTTGTCTTGGGATCCAAGGAGACCAAAACATGCATCCAAATTTTCACCATCTCTGTCAACAATTGTGAACGATTAGTATGCAGTAGATAAGAATCCTTATAGGATTTTTCCACACCATTGGACAACAAAACCTGGGTACAGTATCATTTTGGCGTGAAACTGACAATATATAATAGTGATGAAGTTTTATTACACAGTATACACCATCTGATTAAAAATCACTTTCCAAGTATTGTAACTAATATAATTAAATGTTGTTTGGGAAAGACCAAGCCAATACTAACATGGATAGTGTATTAAAGAAAAACCTACATAAAATACGTAATTAACAACACAAGCTCAAAAGCCAACACATGCAAAACCAATAGCCAATTATTTGCATATAACATAGTTTGAAAACAGGTTAATAAATACCAAGGTCATAAATTTGAATGAATGTTAGATTGCAGGTGTTGTGATGTTAAGAATGAGGGACCAAGCGCTGTAGTGCTGTAGCACGGCTGTGACTGAGAACCCAATGGCGTGATTGATTACATCAAATGGCACAAAAGGAATACCAAAGCTGTTGACAAATGATGTATCCAATACTCGATTTCACAAAAATGCACCCCAAGGAAGTAAACAAAATGGCATGTTTATATGCACCTCATATTAGTATGCATTTAATTGATAGTAATGCCTCAAATATTTCAATATATAGTTTTAATAAAAGTTAAATTTTGATAATGTAGCCCAGGCAGGTGTAATTCAGTAATGCAAATATTTCATATCATTACATATTATTGGTAATTTTGTTAGTAAGCACTTTGATTTTAAATTTATATTTATATTATTCATTCATACAATGAAACTTAATTAGCATGAGGCATGAAGCAGGAAACCCATTTATTCCATTTAAGCATAAATTCTATAGCCAGTTATTATACTTGTGGACCACTTGGAGCATCAACCTACTATTGTTCATAAAAAATTTTGCATTTTAATTCCATAGAAAATAACACCAAAATATCCCCCAATTTCGCCAAGATCTTTTTATGACTGATAATTAGTCTGCAGTGCAGAGAGTTTGTATTGGACCTAACCAACAAATGTGGCACCAATAAAATGACAAGAGAATTTGATGCTTAAAGAGGATAAATGTTAACTAATAACATATAATTTTAGTAAGTAATGTGGTCTTTCAAGGAAATTATGCTGCAAACTTTATAGGTTTTAAATTTAATGACAATGTGCAATAGATTTCTCTTTTTAAAGATCCCTAACTCACTTGGGAGTAATTTTCTAGTGGGTTTCAAAGTTTGCTGCTAGATTCAATACTTTTTTCCATCAACAAATTTAAAAGTAATTTAATAATACTACCACAGAACAGATTATGAAATCTTTATAAAAATTTTTGAGAGATAATAAATTGTACACATTAATTACTAACCCCTCATCCCAAGCTTTTATTCACCTCAACTGATATGAATATTTACAGCCTAAATTTTCACTGAACACAAAACAAAAAAGACCAAAATAGGTAAATCCAAACAAGCAACTCCACACATGTTACCGTTTCCTGCGAGGTGACTCTTGAGGCCTAAGAAAGAATGATCAAGGCTTATTACTACACAGTTCTGGAATCAGTCTTCTGATAAAATCAAACACCGAGAACTTGATAAATATGATAATGATAATGTTTAAGAGGTTAGCTAGAACCAGAGGTGCAGAGCATTGGCTTGTGCAAAAAGAATAAAAAGACTGCATTGCAAATAGGTAATAATATTGACTGCATATTATACATGCTTGATCAACATAGATTTCCATTGATTATCTCATCATAAAGATATTTGATCACCAAAAACAGTACTTGAAAAACTAGACATAATCTAACACTTTCACAACACATTTCATTTCTATGTCACTTTAATGCTAATGATTTTGTCATCAAAATTATCAGAATATTCAATAGTAAAACTTTATTGAGTAGTACCTACAATTTAAAAACAATGCATAAAGCTAGGAAGTTGACTCTAAATCTAAGAACATGAAAGTAAATAGGTTTAGGATTAATATTAACTCACTCATCGGAACTAATTCCGCGCTGCAGGTCTGCCAGCTCCAGCGGTCTGATGACAATGTCGTCAGAGCTCTCGCTGATGCTCCTCTCAGCCAATCCCATGATGAAGTGATTGATGTGCTGCAGGCACTCAACTCCTATCTTAGGCTATACACTCAAGGACATTGCTGACATTAGCAGAGCTCTATAATTGATTTATACTTTCCATTTATTTTGCATTCAAATAGCTTTCAATTTCCTCTTCTATTTTTTATAGCATAACAAGACTATCATTGCCTAAATTAAATGGGAATGAAGAGATTTCAAAATAGTAGTTACTGAAAATCATTTCTAAAGTTAAGTTTTGTGTTTTTAATGTAATGTTCACTCCTAGTTTCATCATGTGCTTTTGAACTGAAGACTTATTTACTTACTAAGTCAATCCCATCAAACAGGGTAATAAAGGTTGGTTTTGAGCTTTTTCATTAATAACTTCTTATCCTGAAACATTTCCTGAACAAGTTTGGGCTCATTTTAAAGCTCTTTGCAAGGGCTATTGAATGGCATCTGCAAAATAGTTCTATATGCAACCATCAAACAGGGTAATAAGGGATGGTTTTGAGCATTTTTTGTTAATAACTTCTTACCATGAAACATTTCATTAACAAGTTTAGGCAAGGCTATTGAATGGCATCTTAAAAAAATTTCATATGCCATTTTCAAGATGCCAGGCGCAAAATAAAACTGTCCCGAATTACCCCTGGGAACGGGGTAATCCGGAACACAAAATAAAACTCAATTTTAAAATGTTTGAAGCATGCAGAGTGTACTCATTCATTACTAACAGTATTTTGAAGTCCTCCTATTTCATTGTAGATGATGTAGATGTAGGAATAAATGACATTTTCTGTGTTTTTACTTGTTTATCCTTTATTGATGTATCACCATATTCATTCATTACCATATTATTGATGTGATATTACCATATCCATAAACATGCCATTGAGCATTTACAACAACCATGTCCACTGCAAGCTTCATATCAGCAGCCCTATAGCATTTCTTCTGTATCTGTAAGCTTACATGATGGCTTGTAATTTCACACCATTTCAATTGGGTTAAGTGAATTCACTCTAAAAAATATTGTAAGAAACATACCTGAAACGGAAAGGAATGTTTTAGAAACAACCATTACAGTATATGTTTTGGAGAAATAAATCATAGTTTAGGTTAATTACTTTTCATTCTATGATGCCCAGTGCACAATTCTATATATGACATTCTGTGCACAATTTTGTGATGACCAATGATGCATTAATTTTTTGATAAGTAAAATTATATTTGCTGAGCAAGGTAAATGTAATCAAAATTCTTTGTTGTTAACCTTTTGCTGAGGTTAAACTGTAAATACATTTTTAGGGATGTCCCTTATTACCCTGGGGGGGTGTCCCTTATTACCCCATCGTGCAGAAATGGCTGCCATTTTTTAATGAGATAGGCAAATTCTCTCAATCGAGTTTTCAAGCCAACACCTGTGTGCAACTTTTATGTAAGTAAAATTTTTTAATACAGCAAATATTTTTTTACTCCAGACCTTAGTAGAGGTACTTTTTCAAACTTGCAATTTTCACACTTTTTTTCAGCAATTTTTTAATTGATAGTAAATGTATGATTTCTTAACTAACTTTATGCATAATAGATAGTAAATAAGTTGAAGTTTATGCCACTATTTTTAGTTTTGCAATATTTTGATTAGATTAGCTGCTACAACATTTCTACGAAATGTGGGATGCGCATCACGATTTACCCGACGGTATTTGTAAGGTACCAGACGCAAAATAAAAGCATCCCAAATTATCCATGCTAACAGAGTAATCTGGGACACTTGAAATACAACTCAATTTTAAAATGTTTGAAGCATGCAAAGTGTACTCATCTATAAATAACAGTACTCTGAAGTCCTCTTCTTTCTTTGTAGATGACATAGATGAAGAATAAATGACATTTTCAGTTATTCTCATTTGTTTTTCCTTTATTGGTATGATATTACCATATCCATACATCATCTTATTATTGATGTGATAATACCATATCCATGGACTTGCCATTGTGCATTTGCAAAGACTTTGTCCACTGCAAGCTCCATATCAGCAGCCATGTAGCATTTCTTCTGTATCTGTAAGCTTATAGAACACCTTGTAATTTCATACCATATTAATAGTGTCAAGTGAATTCACTATAACAAAAAAAGATTATAAAACATACCTAAAACAGAGAGAAATATTTTAGTGACAACCTTCATATTTTTTGAGAAATAAATCATAGTTTAGGTAATTACTGTTCATGCTATGTTGCATGGTGCACAAAATTTTATCTACAACATTCTATGCACAATTTTGTGACGTCGAATGATGCATTAATTTCTTTGTTACGTGAAATTTTTTCACTGAGCGACATAAATGTAATCAAAATTTTTTGTCGTCAATTGATTTTTTGGTTAACTCAGTGGTTCTAAAAGTGGGCAATATTGCCCCCCTGGGGGTGGTGGAAAGATCTGTGGGGGCCTCTGGAAAGATCTGTGTTTAACCTATCTCTTTCAAAATTGCAGCATACTACTAAATATCAAGAGAGATGCATTTGTTTTTATATGTGTCTGTCAGTAGGGGGCACTAGAGATTCACTGCCCAGGGAGCCAAGGGGGGTGCCATAGTTAAGTGTGAATAACTGGAAACTTTGCTGAGGTTCTACTGTAAATGAGTTTTTATGGGTGTCCCTTATTACCCCGTCCTGTGGAAATGGCTGCCATTTTTTTGGAATGTGATATGCAAATTCCATCAAACCCGTTCTTAAGCCAAAACCTGTGTGAAACTTTTATGTAAGGACAATTTTTTAATATGTCGAACATTTTTTGTGCTACAGACCTAAGCTGGCTTAGCAGAGGTACCTTCAAATTACCATATATAAGACTCTGTAGAGTCTGAAACATAAAGAAAAAACATAAATAGGGTGTCAAACATAAAATATGTTATATATGGTAATTTTATATCAACTTCCAAGCCAGTCTATGTTACCTCATCAGGGCTGACATTAGGTGTTCTAAGTTACCCCATTTGGGGGCCGCGCCCCCCATTTGCAAACTATGACACTTTCCTAAAATTTGTCATTTGCATATGTAACTAGAAGAGTTCTACTACAATGCATCAAAACCTGGAGTTATTAACCCAAAAAATAAAAAATTGGAGGGGGTACTCTGACAGGCTTTAAATAATAGTTTTTTTTCAAATCTTTCTATTGTGTTCTGTAGCCTCAGTATTAGGCCTTTAATGCCCATTGACAAAATTTTTCTATGTCAAATAGTTTTTGAGTTGTGGGGGTTTTTGTTAAAAAAAATGAAAAGTGGTCTAACTCTAAGTTACCCTGCTGGTCTAAGTTACCCCATTTTACAGTATGTGTATCAAGTTTCTAAGTGTCAGTGGAAGTGATCTGTCTTTAAATAACCAAAATAAAATTTCCACTTGAAATTGAAAATTTCCATTGGAAATTGGAAATTTTATGTTGGTTATTTATAAACAGAGAACTTTGAAATTTGGTGCACATATGTAAAAAATAAATCTAAGACTTTTTTGTTCATGTGAATTTATCAAAAAAAATAAAGAAAACATGAAATTCTTAGAAAACTGGTGTTTTTTAAAGGCGACTTGACAGTCCAATTTGGCGGTAAAGGGTTAACCCGCTCATCCCTTATTACTCCGTTGTATGGTAGGGTAAACGCGGTATATTCTGACATCGTAGGTAATTCCGTCACCTCTCCAGCTTTTCCTTTATATTAAGCTTTGTTTTAGTTCCATGCGTTCATTGGTGGTTGAAATGGTGACGTCATACATTTGCGTGTCGAAATACTGCAAAAACACTAGGTCTTGGCCATCTAGTGGGAAAATATTGAGATCCAAAGAGAGAAAATGCAAGAATTTCAATCTAAATGTGTTGGCAAGATCTTCTGAAGACGAAAATGTTGCCGATAATGCGTCGCCGTAGGTCTTTAAATCTTTGTTCACTCTCTGCACAGCAGTATGGAATTCTGTATAGGTAATATATTCTGATGTCCATATATGAAAACGTATCGAAAAACCAACCCTACGGTCCCTACCAGCTACCACCGTGTTGGACCACCTTCCACTGCAATGAAAATAGATCAACTGGAGCTCATTAGAGACAGCCGTGCTTCCGAAATTGTGCGTGGTTTGAAATCCAATCCCGTGTTGCGAACGCCTAATCAAGTTAACTAGTCGTCTATCTGTAGGGTAGTAGACAAATTTTTACAATGAATACGTTCTAAAATAAAAAAAAACACATCCAGAATAGATAAAAAATTCTCACGATTGGACGATACCAACAAAGTTTTCGATATCACACAGAAGTATGAGATAAACTTCGACTTTTCCAAGGCGTACATTCACATCCTGTTTCCACGATCATATCTGACATGGCGGCGTCACAGGCATAGTTTTTGGTCATGTCAAGTTCGATTTCACAATAATTAGACTTGATTCACATTCCATACTGACATTTAAATGGTGGAAAGTTTTTTCAAATTATAATCACCCATTGATACGCGTCCAGACATACATTTTTTCATGTTTTTGCCCTATTTTGTTGATATTGTCTATATAATTAACTTCGCTTCAGATTGTAAATGATTTCGTCTGCCATCCGGAGTTTTCGAACGTTTTGTGTCTTTTAGAAAATGTTCGTTGTTTAAAATGGGAAACAATTTCATTATATACAATAAATATGTATGTACCATATAGTGCATTATTAATACAATTTAATTTATTAAATATTGATTTTTAATTTAAAAAATATAATCAGATTTTTAATTCAACATTTTTCAAATAGAATTTAATTCTACAGCATGTACCATCTAGTGTATTAAATAATAAAATTTGATTTAGTAATATTAAATTTTAATTAATTTTTTAATTTAATTTAATTCTACAGCTCCAATCGGTAAAAATGAGCATCATAGGAATGAAATTAAAACTTTCGTTCATACATCACAAATTGAATGACATTGGATGGATGCCTAGTCGATCGAACGTCGTTCGAACGAGTTCACAACGTGTGACGCTTCCGTCACACTTAAGGGATAGACTCAAAACATGTAATTACTATCGGTAGAAGCTCTTATTTTCTGTGCGACGAATTCGTAACACCATGTTTTTGATGTAAAAGAATGTTTTTCAATTAAAAGAAATGCAATACTTGATTTTTGGAAATACGATGCTAAAATTAATGATCCGTATTAGAATTCAATAAATGTTACGATTTCTGAATTCTCTTCGAAAGTTTGTTTTCGTTCATTTGATCAGCAGTTTTTGTTCGTTTGATCAGAAGTTTTCGTTTGTTTGATCAGAATTTTTCGTTCGTTTGATCAGAAGTTTTCGT